GAGGACGAAAATGATTCCCTTGACAATTGGGTTCCACAGTTTCCTTTTGGTCCCAGAACCCCTGAACAAGGCGAGGTCGAATCTGCATGTTCTAGTTCAGGCCCTGCCCCAACCACTCCTGCCCAGAGCTCCGCGGAATCAGGGTTTGTTGATGATGTTGAGGATTTGGCCGAGTACGCACCTATGCCTGGGGGTATTGCTAGGACTAGGATTGGCATGTTCATTGAATTCTGTTGTGAGGCGAATTCAGCATGCTCAAGGGTTGCGAGTCATCTTGGAATCCCGTATTTTGGAATCACTAAGTCCACTTTAGATGTTGAGAATGATGATCAGTTCGAACAGTTCCTTGATTGGCTCCAACTTGAAATTCAAGAAAACCCTGGACCAATCCACTTGTGGGGGTCACTCCCTTGCACTCCGTGGGGCCCTTGGCAAGAGATGAACATGCATCGCTACGGCCAGAAGTTTGAGGACAAGCTTTACCTTGCTAGATGTCGTTCGTTGCAACTCGTTCACAAATTCAAGGAAGCTGGGGAGCTCGTGAAATGCTCTAGAGGGGGATCTGTTACGTTTGAATGGTCCAGAGACAACAAGGGTTGGGGCGAGCCGGTTGTTCAACAGACTTTAGATTATTTCAGCCTGATTCCGGTTGCTGTTGACGGTTGTGCTTTTGGTTTGGAAATAGATGGAAAACCCCCCCAAAGTCCTTGGACGATCTTATCAGATTCTTGCAGACTCAGAAACGAACTTCAATCTAAGACATGCAAGCACCCTTCTGGATACCATGACTCCCTTGAAGGTAATCTCACCACCAAGTCTGGAATTTACAATGTTGACATGGCAGTTTGCATCTTGACTTCTCTTTTCCCCGGGGTTCTCTGTGATCGTATTCCAGCGTTTCCCACCATGCCTTTCACGGATCAATCACACCGAGAGCGGGTCTCTCACCTCAATGACGTTCCCCCATCCATCATGGCCCTTATACATCGGCAATTGACCAGAGAAGAGATCAGACAGGACCCTCAGGCCCTGAAGGCCATCTGGGAAGACGGGGAGGGTGTACGAGCTCGTGGGGTATGGGATGATTCGACCGTGCGTGAGAAGGCAGACCTTATACAGGAAGCCCGTAGGGAAGGAAAAGAAATACATATTGCAGACATCATGGCCATAGCAAGCGTAAAACATTGGGAATCCCCCGACAAAAGGAAACACAAGGGTAGATTGGTATTCCGGGGGGATCAGGTCAAGGATTCCTGGGGCGGGGCTGCATCCTTTGGTGAACTTTATTCTACCCCAACGAATATTCAGGCCATCAACATTGCCATATTCTATGGGCTTTTGGTGGGAAATGTGCTGAAGGTGGCCGACTGTGTAAAAGCTTACTTACAGGCTCTCCTCCTCACCGAGGAAGAAACGTGGGTGGTGATTCCACCCGAACTTTGGCTGGACTCATGGAGAGGTCGCTTTAAAACTCCAGTAGTGCGGTTAGTGCGGGCCCTTTACGGCCACCCATTGGCCAGTGCTTTTTGGGATCTTCACCTCAAGCAGGTGTTGATCGGGGATTTGGGCCTTGAACCAGTTGACGGCCACCCAAGCGTTTACATGCACCCAACTGCACGCCTTTTGGTAGTTGTTTATGTAGATGATGTGTTGTGCGCTGGACCAGAAGCTAACCAATCATGGTTTTGGGAATCCCTCCGTAGCAAACTTGAACTTGAACCAGAAGAGGATTTGAGTCAGTTCATTGGTCGGTCTCACATTCTAAGCGGTTCCACATGTGTGTTTGACATGCGTGATTATGCACAGCAGGTGTTGGACCGATACTTGGACATCACCGGGGGAAATGTAGCCTTCAGAAAAGTGTCAACGCCCTATGTCACTGAAGGGATGTTGACTCAGGCCGATTACGAGGTCGAAGGCCAGATCTCTTCTAAGGCAGCAAGTGTCCTCATGCAACTTCTTTGGCTGACACGCCTTGCTCGGCCAGACCTGGCCTTTGCAGTAAGCTCTTTGGCCACCCAGGTGACGAAATGGAGTCGAAACGCCGATAAACAACTTTATCGGCTCCTTTCCTATGTTTGGACCACTAGGAACCTGTGCATGAAGTCTCAAGTTTGGGATCCCCCTAATGAATGTTCTCTAGATCTGTACGCTGACGCGGATCTAGGAGGGTGCCCCTTAACAGCTAAAAGCACTTCAGGCTTGTTTCTAGTAGTGCAAGGTCCTAGAGGGACATTCGCTCCGATCATTTGGAGCAGCAGGCGGCAATCACATGTTGCGCGTTCCACCGCGGACGCAGAACTAAACAGTCTAGCAGAGGGTCTTCATGAAGAGTTGTTGCCCGCAGTAATGCTCCTTAACAAGCTTTTGGGGGAGGGTCAGATTCCTAGGCCAGTTTGTCGCGAGGATAACACCGCTGTTGTCCAAGCCATCAAGAAGGGCTATTCAGTTAAACTCAGACATTTAGCGCGAACCCCAAAGCTGTCCTTGGCATCATTGCATGAGGCAACTAGTACCTGGTGTGCCTTGGTTCACACTGGCACCCATGACCAGCTAGGAGATTTGTTCACAAAGGCTTTGCCGCCTGGAAAATTCAATCCTCAGGCTCTTGGTCTGACTGTTTGGCTGGAAACTTAGTTTTGTCCACCTCTTAGATTGGCCAAGTGCTCAGAAACGATTGCACCGCAAAGTCCTGGCGCGGGCCTTCTGCCTTCAACGCGGGTCACCAGCGGGGAATGTCGCCAAGTATAGTACCTATATACCCTTAAAGGGGCATGTAGGGCTCCAGCGTTCGACGCGGGCTCCTGCATTTAAGGAATTTTTGGTGGCGGCTGGCTTTGCTTTTGGTGCTTCTTCACCTTCTGGTGCTGCTGATGTCTTCTTGCGCTGCGCGCTGACGTGAGGGCATGTAGCTTTGTACACTATTTTTTTTCTTCACTTCTCCGTTTCATTGCACATCTTCGGATCCACCTGGCGTGCTGCAGTGATTCGGCCACATATGAGAACCTTCCGGGCGGGTTCTCCCTTGTGGCGTGGCATGTTTCCTCAGCCAGTGGATCCGCGGGGGGACGTTTGACATCTGCCTCCTGAGGTGCACAAATCGAGAAGTGTAACAAGTCCATTGCCAACGACATGGCCCCTGCGTGAATGACACGCACTCTTGACCACTTTGGCTCAAGAAATAGGGTGCAGCAGCGGTTTGAAGACTGCAAAACGTCTTAGTTTGCTGGAGGATGGATAATTGAGCCTCAGAAACAGGCAAATGTCAGGCAGACTGAAGTGCCTTCACTTGCGACGGGGTTTCAAAGACTCAAGTTTTAGGATGATTTAGGGTACTCTCCGGTAATCAATCATGCCAATGGGACATTCCCTATAAATGTGCATATAAATCATCCACAACTGGTGAATTTGCCATTGCCACGTTTGATTACCAGAGGATGCCCTTGTTGGTTGGATATTCTTTGTGTACGACGTTCATGGGAACAGTTCATGCTTAAAGAATGCGGGAGCAAGGCACAGCAGTGATGCCATGAAGCACTGCAGGGTGGACCGAACTGGACCAAGGGGAAAATGATCGTTCGTCAGAGTCCGAAACCCGATGAAAGATTGGCAAGATCTAGGCACGCTACACGCGGACATCCTGCGGCCACAGTTCAGGCTGGTGCAAGCATTCGGGAAGATTCGTCGGACTTTGAAGCGCCAGGCTTTGATTCGCACGGGTATCAATCATTGTATCGGACGCTATGGACTCTTGGCCAGAGGCAACCAGGAAACTGCGGCTCATGCCCTTGTCCTTTCTGGCTTCTCAAGACCTCCGGAACACCAAACGGTTTTTTTGGACCAACGTTGATCGCGCACATCCATTGATCCAACAGATTTTTGCACCATTTCTGGAGCAATATGGCAAACACATCGAGACTAAGAAATTCGATGCCGCTGAGGGAATAAAGAAGGTAGCTCTTGACTATTCATCTCATTGAAGCGCTGCCAACGTGACAGCCGAGCTTGTGAACATTTTCGAGTCTCAAAGGACGACTTCCAAGGCTGCTTTGTTGCGTACCTTCCTGGTGTACTACGGCGGAGCCTGGATGGAGTAGCTGCGGTTTTTCAGCGAACGCCGTTGTTTTTTTAAAACATGTACTGATGTTCAATAACCAGGATTGTCGTTTTTTTTGATCGTTCGCGACCCAGGGCTTGAAGCTGATAGCGATGCCTCAGCAATCGTGCTGTGTGACTATCGGCTTCAATCCCTGGGTCGCCTTTCATGAAAGCTTGGATGGTCTGACTACGGACCGCCGATGTTGAGGGGAATGATTGAAGAGATTCAGAGTGGCACGGTTGTGAATTACACTCACCTCTTGCCCAGTTACTTCCCAGACGGTGCTGTCAGAAATCAAGGTGGACCTGATGAGTAAATTTCGGATCACACGTACTGTTTCCGTCCAAGTCCTTTGGACTCCTTGGCTCGAAAACGAAATTGCATTGACCCAAGCAGAAAGGCCATCAGCACAACCAGTGGGAGGACATGGCAGACACTTCGCTCATGGGATCTCATGGGATCTGTCGAAGCCCCGGAGCTGTGAAAAAAAGGTGGGCCCAAGCGTCCAGCAGTTCATCACAATTCATCACCGATTGTTCCATGAAAACAATTGCAAAAAAGAGCCCCCAAAAAATATAGAAAAGGCTCAATTCATATATGACTATTTAGTAAGGATTTTATTGTGTTTTTTTTTTGTTTTTTTTTTTGGGGGTTACGCATCCCATCCCCCGTTCATATTATATAAACAGCCGCGTTCTGTGGTCCCAGGCATATGTGGTTTGATCCCCATCCACCATGGTTCGATGGGCTGCCATGAATGGGGGGAATCAAGTCATATCAAGTCATATCTAGCTAAAACCCAAACCATGAGGAATATCCACTCTAAATTCAAAATATACCAAGAATATCAGATCAATTTCCCATGATATCCTGCATCAAAATCCCCACCTTGGCATACCAGGACATGTCCTGCAACGACTTGGCCCGCGGCTATGACGGCGACAGGGGCAACCTGGGCGACGCGGGCAACGCGGGCAACGCCGGCTGGCCCTGGCCCATGGAAGGATCCTTCGAGTGCCCCGACTGACATCGGGTAAGGTGGGGTTTATGTGAAATATGATGTGATAACATGGATGATCATGGATGTTAATGGACTTTATATAGTGGATTTTGATTGATTTTGCTTGATGCTAATGGAAACATAATGTATATTGAATTTTAATGGATGTTAAAGGATGTTACCATGGTTTACATGCTGTAGGGATTAAACTTGTTTGCAACAATTACCGGCCATTTGGCAGCTATGATCAATCACTTCAAATAGGGGGTATGCGAAAAAAAGAACCACAATTTGGGGGTGGTGGATTCTTATGGCTTATGGATCCAACTTTCAACTCATTGAACATTTGTGCAATGGGTTGAAAGGAATTCATGATAAAACCATCAGATTTTGGTTGTGCATCAGAATGCTTCAGTTGGTACCCTCAGGTCTAAGCTATGGGTCAAGGTCAACATCCTCATTTGAACATGTCTTAAGGTGATCTTCCGATCTTCCCATAGTTTTCCATAGCCTCTGGTAATTGGTTCCAGCCATGGAAGCCATGGCCCATGGAGTTCGCTGATTTTCCCATTCAAATGGTTCTTTTCCATGGCTATTTTAAATTACCAGAGGGGATCTTCCGTCATTTTCACCTTATTTCCAAGGCGAGAAGGGCTTCTGATCGTGCCAGGTGGTCGCCCACGGTCTTCACGACGGAGGACTTCCCACAAGCGCCATGGCTGTGGCAGTGGCAAATGGCCGGCCAAATGGCATCGTTGCGCTCCATCTGCGGATATTGGTTGCAGTGAAAGGACTGCGGGGCAGGTCTCACCGGAAAACCTGGTTGGGCCTGTTTTCTATTGTCTTTGCATCCTAAGAAACACCACGGTGTTGACGCAGATGTGGCAGGACAACAATCCGGCAAAATGAGTGAGTTTTGCAGCTCCGTCAGTGCATTAGATAGTGAAGGGGCAGTTGCCTAGCCCCAGCCCGGTTGAAATTGAAGAGATTGGCCATGTTCAAGGACCCAAGGAGACATTGAGCTTCGACGACTTGGTGCTTCCCTTAGAAAGTAAACATGAAGCGAGCTGCGACATCTCCCATCGCAAGAACGTCATTTTCCCATGCAGAAGTTTCGATGTGTTTCTGGCATGTCAGTAGAACCATACTTCCGACTGACCATGGACAGGTGTAATTGCCAGAACTAGCTAGGCAGCTAGACCTTTGGAGAGGCATAAGCAGAAAGCTGACAGCTTGGATTTTAGCAACGTGAGCAATGCCCAGTTCACCGCTGATCGATAGTTATGTCGACTACTGATGGTCAGGCGGTTTTGGATTCATTCGATTCAAGGGAAAGGCGGAAAAATCCGCTTGTCACAAGCACTGCAGTTTTACTTGTGATTTCCTTGGGCTGGGAGTCTTATGATTCACAGACTCGGAACAACTCCCCGGCAACGCTCACAATCTTTACGAAATCCGTCCAATTTGGGTGAAATCATCCCTGGTGAAATCATGAAACTCTTCGATCATTGTATAAATATGTATATAAAGCATTTTTTTGGTAAATCATTTAAACAGTATTTATCACTATTTATCCAACTTGGGGCCATCAATTTTCATAGCATGTTGAGGTCTGGGGACCAATTTAGGCACTGCTCATGTCATGCTTCCGACCCGTGTGGCCTGAAGCCATCCAAGCCATCGCCGTCGCAGCACGGGGGTGGAAGATGGTGCATGCTGAAAACACAGACAGAGACAGAGAATGCCAGACTTGTCGTATTTTATCGTGATTTGACCTACATATTTGCATTTATTACTTCTACTTCTAGCGTTATCAATACGTGGGTCAGTTGTGTATCATTTCAGCTCGCAAGACCACAATCAAGTTGTGGATTCAAGGTGGATGATATGGGTTCAAATCTTTCTACCACCGAAACAGATGCTTAGAAATAGTACCTAAGTTTAGAATGGCATCACAGTTGTGATCCGTTCCCAGATGAATATTGTTTAAAAAGATAAAAAGTGACCTGTGAGTTCGCATCGCATCGCCAACTTCCAGACCACCATTGGCGTTCAAGTGGAATTGATTGCTGAAACTCGAAGAGAGCAGTTCATTGTTCCTGGCCCCGGTGATGCGATGGGTTTTGAATACTTAAGGAGGTTTATAACATTATTTAGCTGGCCTATGGGCTCCTAGCTAAGGGTAAATAATGGTAAATACGTATTTGCTTATATAGTGCTGTTTTGAGTTTTGATAGGGGCCAGGGGCCCATCACTGTCGGTGATGGTTGGCGACATCTTCGACTGGGGGAACGACCAGCAAACCACATGTTTCATGAAAAAAGACCCAACATGGGAGGAAATCTCTGTGCAGGCTATGCAAATGTCTGAATGCCTTGATGTGGCTGAACCCGGACGAAAATGCCTGGAGCGAAGGGAGATGATCTTGGTGTTGCCATTATACACCCAGGTTCCAGAACTTGTTTCTGCGGAAAGAATCGATGAACGCCCTATTAAAAGGACAATTTGGAGGTAAACGGCATAGTTTTCCCTGTGCATCTGAATCATAATCATTTGGAAGAAAGAACCAATATTTAAGTATATTGAATATGAACCCATGGTGTTTCCTCTACATTGCTAAATGATCCAACTTTCCCGTTGGCCCTGCGACCTGTCGCCAGGCCTGCATCCCAGGCTGGTGGAAATTCTCCGCGGCCGGGTTCAGGTGTCGCGCATCGTGTACATCAGCGCGGGGCCAAGAAACACCGCGGTGAATGGGTGGCGGGTGGAAAGGAAGATCGAACGGAACATCAAGTGGCGGTGAATGGGTGAACATCAATGGTGAGTTAATCCCCGGTTTAAGTTAGAAGTCTGTAGCCGAGCCCAAGGGCTTGTGGAACCGCACCCTGAAATCTGGAGATCTTTTACTGCCAAGACCTCCATTGTAGTGAAGTGGCTTTTAGTGTGAGCAAGGTTGCAATGCTGAGAGCATGGCCGAGGAGCTGGATGTGGCATTGGGTTTGCCAGATGAATCCAGATGAGAAATAGAATGGAACATTGGAACATCATGGAAGCAAATACACCGCCATTTGATACCTGTGCAAAATTAGTGGTTGCGTTTCCTTCCAGTTTCTCAGAGACACCTTATCGCCCATGTGGGACCCACCATAAAGAAATCCACCAAACCCAGCATAACCCAGCGGTTCAGTTCTGGGGGCGACGTCCCTATCAGGACATCGCCAAGCTTGGCACTTCCACCGAGGACGTGGGGCAAATCACATCGGAACCGATGGATGCAACCGATGGATACCGATGGTTTGTATGCTGGCTCTGGTGATCTCTGGTGTCTCCCAGGAACTAGCAGATGACTTCATTCCAACCAGAGCAGTTGCTGTGGACTCCTTTCCTCAAACGATCCATGTGGAGGCGCAGCGCAGCTTGCCATGCCTTTCACGCGCTAGTGTCGATGTCGGCCGTTTTCCCCGACATATATTAGTTTAGCATTTTTTTCTTGTGTGTCAGTAGCTACAGTAGTCAGTCAGTCTGTAGCCAGGTAGTCTGTTAGTAAGTTAGCCAATTAGTTAGTCAGTCACTTAGTTAGCCAGTCAAATTGGGTTATTGAGCCGGTTAGTTACTACTTTACATATTTTACATGGGTACGCTTAGTTTGACATCGGAACCCAGAATTGCACTGATCTTCTGGGGATCATGTGGTAAATCACTCAACATCAATGTGGAAAAGCTGAGCTCAGCTCCACCTGAGGTGATTGCCTTGGTGGAGCGAGCGTCTCGTGTCCCAGACAGGCATGGAGATTTGGTAGGGATTTGGACATGGTGCCGAAGAAAACACGAGTAGAAGATGGTTCAATATGGTTCAATCATGTATTATTTACTGTATCAATATACTAATATACTTCAGACATCATCTGATTTTGAGGTGACAAAAGGCTGATCTTATGGATCTTATATCGATCTTATATCGATGAAGTATGTTGAAGTGGCGCTCTTTGTCAGCACTCTGTTGCAGGACGGAGGCTGCGCCGGTGCAGGCTGAGGCCGATGCGGAGAGTTCGGCACTGGTGGATGAGTTCCCAAAGACATGCTCCATGGTATCACAAAGATATTCCTAGAAAATGGGTGAAACAGCTTGAGGTATGACAGGTATGACACTTCCCTACCAGTTTCCCCATCAATTCATTTGCTTCCTAGCAGAACTGGAAACCAGGGGCCAAACCTGCAACATTTTTCCCCATCAGTTCTGCGAAGGAAGCTGGAACCCCTGAGCCGCGGTGAGCCGTGGAAATCCACCAGATCGGTGTCATTAGGTCCCCAGAGGCAGAGAAAGGAAGCGGCAGCGGCCAAGCTTGACCCATCTTGACCCGAAACATCCAACTTCAAACCATTTTTTAATTGAACATTTGAGCGGCACGCGGCATTTTCTTCGGTTGGTAAACGAATCTATGGTTATGTTCAACACTTGAAGTCCTCCAAGTTGAGTCATACGCATGTGACAAGCGTTGTGCGGTACTATTGGTAGTATGCTCCAGTGTGTCCAGTTTTCGGTGATATCCCCACGCCCATCATAGGCTTTCATTTCGACTTGCCATAAGATCTTGGAGGACATACAGAAGTACCAGACGCAGAGAGGACGTGGAGGCACTGTCACAATGGCCCGTGTAAATAGATAAATAAATAAGTAAATACATACCAGTAATTAATAAATAACAACAGTAAATAATCTAATACTGCATATATGCATATACATAGGGCGGTGGATTTTACATAACATTTTTATTTTCAGCAATATAGCGTTAGGAATCGTGATCCCAGCTGATGCATGCTATTTTTTTGGATGGGTTGAAACCACAAATCAGTGGATTTCCAAATATCTCTCCATATATATATATATATATATACATATATTTATTCATAAAACATGATATATAACCTACAATATCATATTTCTTGTTTCTCTTTCTCTATCTGTCGTTGTTTTCGTTGTTTTCATCCAGCTCTGTAGCTTTTGGAGCTCGCTCCACCGTGATCCACCGTGGCCATGGCTCCAGAGGCTCCAGAGGCCCGCGGCCGCCACGGGTTGCCTGCGTCCGGCCGTCCGCCGCGTGCGTTGCCGCATGGCGTCTCCGAAACTTGGCCCATAAAACGACCAGAAATCCGGAGATTTTTGATGAAGAATGATGAAGATATATTTAAATACAGATAGAACAATGACACACACACATTATATATATATATAGCTACTGATGGGATCTGATTGGGCTACAGCTGCACCGCAAAGGAAATGCATGGGTTTGTTCAACAATGGAGGATGGGCCCCAATTTTCTGGCCATTTAAATGATTAGGATAAACACTGGGTTTGGCGTCGGAAGTTTGAGACAACACCATGTAACAACAAGTAGAGTATACCGTATACAGTACCAACCAGTATTTTGGTAGCAATAGGTCAGTTTGAACTAGATCCATGTGTTGTCAAAAAAAGTCTAGCTCTTTTGCCTGTCGGGGACAGGGGGCAGCTCTTGCATATCTCAGGGCCATGGGGTACCAGCAGAAGATCCTCGAGCATTTCCGCAGCGCTTTGCCAGACACCACCGACCTCACCGAGGATCAGGTTTGGATCGCCCCAGCTGCCCATGCAACAAATAAACAGCACATAGAGACACTATGAATATGATACATTATGAGCCATCACTACCAGTTTGCATACTACAACAAATGCTAGTTGTCGGCAAAGCGATAATCCGATACCCCATCATTCTGCTCTGGTCAGGTGAGAATCTTACTGAATCATCTGGGCATTGAGCTCAGCGAAGAGTCAGCGGCCCAGCAAGTTCTGAAACCGCTCTTTGAGACATGGCCCCTGGTTGAAAAAGTGCGAACATCCCAATAATCCCATCCCAATATGACACACCCTCTACATATGTCCAGATTATGTGGTTTCCTCCCCTACATCCACCACGGTTTCCGGGGGTGTGTTTAGTAGGTATGGATTGCTGGAGCCTGGAGAACTCAACCGCCCAACTCGCCGAGGCGTCTTCGAAAGTTGATGGCAGCAGCATCAGATGGCAGTGGAAAGGTGACCTGTGAGAGGTTCATCTCGTGGATGTTTGGATGTCTGGCCGGCCTGGTTGGCCATTGGAAAGGGGACCCAGGCGACCCAGGTGGGCCCAGAGGATGATCAATCCGAAGTCAAAGGACTATATACTATGTTTTGTGATCAGTATCTTTTGATGTCACCCGTTCTGACGGTGATATTCTAACTGCAGCCTTGTGGTTTTGCCATTGCATGTGTGATACAGTAATTGTACGATTCACGTGAAGCAGATACAGGCATTCTTGCTTGATACAATACCTGCTTTCAAGTTATATAGGGAAGCAGGATTGGTCGCGGTATCGCTTGAAACCTCAAAAACACACTCAGCAACTTGAGGATTCATGTGTAAATCCAGGGGCTGTTTGATTTGGGCCGCAGTTTTCGCATTTTTCCTGGCAATCCCCAGAGTTTCAACGCCCGATAGGGATCCCAACTCCGCCAGGCGAGGGCTCCGGCAAAGTCCCCGATGCGCCCCCGTTGCCGGCGAAGCCGGCCGTTGCGCAGCCAGCACCGGTCCCTGCTCCGGCGCCAGTGGAGCCGAAGCTTCCGCTGGAAACGAAAAGGAGACGCGGGGACGGTGGGTTGAAGCCTTAGGGCCTTAGGAGTCACCATGGCTATGGGACTCTGGAAGATGATCTTAGTGGAAATGGCAATTTTTGTTGGCCAGCTGAAATGAATCCAGAGACGGTGGCAGCGCAGGAGCTTGCAAATTATAGAGACCTCCGTTCAAGCGCAACTGCGGCGCCTTGGCACTGCGCTGCCTGGGGTCATCGTTTGGGTATGATTTCACCAACGATTTACGGCAGTTTTGGATATCCAGATTATCCAGTGGATATTTTGGGATACCCAATTTTGAATCTATTGACCCGCGCCATCCAGTGCCCCATTTTGCCCAGTGATTTAGTTAAAGGCCAGATGGCAGAAATGGAGAAACATCACTGAGGCAAATCCTGGAACAGCACCCATATGTGCCTTGGCTGCAGGAATCGAAGGGAAGACCTGGCTGACCTGATAGGCCGGGAGAAATATGACTTTTATATAGATCATTTAATTAATTATTAAGTAGATGTTCCTATTGATTATTGTTTTACGGTTTACTTTTTCCATGCCAAAACCCGGGAATGAATCATGTTAATCCAAACTGATACGTGGTAGTCTCCATATCATGCGAACTCAGGGCTAACCTTATATGCCTATAGGCATCCGAAAAACGATAGACAATGTTTTCCAGGGCTTTAGTTCGATGACATTTCCTGCATAGTTTGAAAGTTTCCAACTTTCGATCTATTGACTACGCGGTGATTATATGGTGATTATATGGTGGTTATACGGTGATTATATTGGAAGATATAATGAGAGTAAAGTTATAATGGCTGACTGCGGGTTGCTCTCTCTCTTTTCATGTGTCATCAATCTGGGTTTCACGTCACCAGGTACCCGGGAATCCAAGGTCGAACGTGGCGGTGCTGCTTCCCGCCACCCCGCGCAGCCTTTCGTGCCTTGGCGTGGGAAAGATGTGGAAAAGCTGGGCCAATTCGAGGCCAGGACGAGAGGGAAGGGCTTCAACTTCCTGGTGACAGAACTTGTCTCCCGGCCAAGGTAGAGAACTGTTGGAAGTGTCTTGAGCTGGGCAAGTATGAGCAAGCTCAAGAGGCCCAGCGGGCGCCAAGGGTGATGTCCTTGGCTTTGGATCAGTGAATCGGGGTGCCATTTTTGGGCGGAGAGTCACTTCTTGGTGATCAACCCCCCTTATTCCAGTTATAAGTGGATGTGAAACCATAAATGTGGTTCATCTACCAACTATATAATTCTGGTTATGACCATAGTTATACCCGTTCATAATCCCATACCATCAAGCAGGGTCGATTCATCCGCTGGGTGCTCCCCAGAGCCTTCAGAGCTTGGAGGAGTTGCGACGGACCAGGAGTGTCATTGAAACCGTTGGGAGGCCAAAGATGGTGCAAACGATTTAGGTGATGTCCCCTCCCCGGACTCCCCGGGTCACTTAGGTGACTCATTTCCCAACTGTTGCCGGGGGGATGATCCTCTGATTTTTTTTTCAATCTGTGACTCTGTGACTTCTGAGCTGAGTAGCTACTTGACGAATAGTTGGCTATATGATGCTATATGATTCTCTCGCCTTTGGTTTCTTGGATGTTCTATTCCTCGGCAATCCTCCGTAATCCTCCGTAGCTTTTGCCTTTCATTTTTGCATAGATTTGCCCCCCCTCCCATTCAACTCTTTAGTTAGGTGCCAACAAATTCCAAGAAAACGGTACAGGCGCAATGTTGATCAGGTTTATCATGGACGCAAAGTCATAGGCAAGTACGGGTTCAATATCATACAATATCAGTGTTTGAACTTGCCAGGGGCCCTTGCTGGGTTACATGGCCCAGGGTCATGTTACGCTGTTCGCTGCCATGTGATGCGGAGTGAGCCTAGTCGGCCTGCCGTGTGGCCATGACACCATGGGCGAGGTGGAAGCTGTGTGTCTGCTGGCAGAATCCAATGCCTGGGACTCCCAACGCAAGGATTTCTGGTTCAACTCCACTGGGGAGAGGTTTTTGGAACTGACCTTCCAGCTGGGCGGCAAGACCACAGCAACCAGATCCAAGTCCAGGAATGACATGTTCGAAGTTGGGCCAGCTGGTTGAGTGCTGGGATGGCATTTTGACATTTTGTTGATGGTTAAGTGAGGGATTTCAAGGGATTTCTGCATTCTAGATACCCAGTTGATCGCAGCTGTTTGTTCTTCACCTGTTTTACAACCAACCACCTCCCAGAGGAGGAAATTCTGCATCGCCAAAGTGGAGACAGGATGCACCTTGATGGCTGACACCGGCCTGTTGGAAGGTCAGTGGGTCGTGACCCACTGGCAGTCAGGAGAGGGTTGAAGGGGGGTGGATCCGGGTGGATGTCCATTCCATGTATAGAGTGTAGAGATTTTTAAACATCACCTCCATGACTGGTTCTTGGTTGTTTGACTGGCAAAAAGGCCTGCTTGGCTGATGACTATCACTTCCTACCCAGTGTTTGTTTGCAGCTGCCAGGAGGAAGTCCATCCTTTTTCTTCATCAATGAGGTCGCTCTGGGTTCTTTGGTCACCCTGCAGCTGCAGATGACACCCACCGAAGTGAAGCTGTGCTACAAAAGGGAAGTTGATGCGCAGCCGGTGCCGCAGAGCCAGAAGATGTCTTTACCCAGAAGTTTCGGTGGTGAGAGCCCAGCTCAGTGCTTGGAACCTTTGCTTTTGGTGTGCGATTCCAATGACTGGACTCCCGATGCTCAGGCTGCAGAAGAGGAGAGAGAGAAAGAGAGAGAGAGAGAGATATATATAATATATATATATATATATATTATCCATATACATATAAATAAATAAACAAATAAATAATCCCTTCTCCCTATTACTAACCCCCCCAAATACTAAAAACTAGGGTCCATCTCCAATTTCAGAAAATTTCAGATTGGCCAATTTGATTTTTAATTGATCCCCTTTAGAAAACAATTTAAAAATAAAGCTACCATTTGTGGGTTTTCCCCCCTAATACTAAAAACTAGTTCGCCCCGGGGTGTTTATTATTAGGGTCCGTCCGTTTTCCTTATAGCTTTTTATAAATGGGCTAACGCCCAGGTGCCGCCGCCCCCCTTTTTGAGGCTTCGGAATCGCAGATCACTGAGAAAATGTAAGAGTCATAACTTAAAACAGTATTTGGATATCTAACTATAGACTATAGTGTTATGAGAATATTGCAGCTACAGGGCTTGTATGACAAAAGATTTTTTAACCATTTGCTGCACCATTCTTGTAACCATTCTATTTACTATGCTGGAAGCACCCCTGTTCTTGCAACCGTTCTGTTTCCTATTCTGGACGCATCTCTGTTCTCTTAAACATTCTGTTTCCTGTTCTGGAAACACCTCTGTTCTTTTAACCATTCGACTTCCTATTCTGGAAGCACCTCTCTTCTAATCATTTGATGAATTTTTCTCAAGCCACCAGTCTTCCTGTAGCCATGCCACCTGCTATCCTGGAATCATATTTTTGATAGTCATCCTATCTGCGACCCTGAGGCCCTGAGGTAAACACGTTTTCAAACTATCCCAGTCCCATGTCTTAGTTTTCAAACTATCCCATTCCTTCTGTCAACGCTCAATAGAATGGACGGCCAGAAAAAGACACCACAAAAATGCAATATTCGACCTGGCAAAGCGCTGGCAAAGGGCTAAAGCTGCACGGAGGGTTTTGGGGCCCTGGTGGAACGTGCTTCGCGCAGGTTTTGAAACCCTCTAAATGCAGTATTTCGACTTGGCAAGGCAAGGGCTAAGGGCGATGGCAAAGTGCTGGCAAGGGGATAAAGCTGCACGGAAGGGTTTGGGGCCCTGGTGGAACGTGCTTCGCGCAGGTTTTGAAACCCTCTAAATGCAGAATTTCGACCTGGCAAGGCAGCGGCAAAGGGCGAAAGGTGCACAGGAGGGTTTCGTGTCCTAGTGAAACGTGCCTGGCGCAGGTGTGGAAATTGTCTAAATGCAATATTCGACCTGGCAAAGCGCTGGCAAGGGGCTAAAGCTGCACGGAAGGGTTTTGGGGCCCTGGTGGAACGTGCTTCGCGCAGGTTTTGAAACCCTCTAAATGCAGTATTTCGACTTGGCAAGGCAAGGGCAAAGGGCGAAAAAGGTGCACAGGAGGGTTTCGTGTCCTAGTGAAACGTGCCTGGCGCAGGTGTGGAAACCGTCTAAATGCTATATTCGACCTGGCAAAGCGCTGGCAAGGCGCTAACGCTGCACGGAAGGGTTTGGGGCCCTGGTGGAACGTGCTTCGCGCAGGTTTTGAAACCCTCTAAATGCAGAATTTCGACCTGGCAAGGCAGCGGCAAAGGGCGAAAGGTGCACAGGAGGGTTTTAGGGCCCTGGTGGAACGTGCTTCGTGCAGGTTTTGAAACCCTCTAAATGCAGTATTTCGACCTGGCAAGGCAAGGGCAAAGGGCGATGGCAAAGCGCTGGCAAGGGGCTAAAGCTGCACGGAAGGGTTTGGGGCCCTGGTGGAACGTGCTTCGCGCAGGTTTTGAAACCTTCTAAATGCAGAATTTCGACCTGGCAAGGCAAGGGCTAAGGGCGATGGCAAAGCGCTGGCAAGGGGCTAAAGCTGCACGGAGGGTTTTGGGGCCCTGGTGGAACGTGCTTCGCGCAGGTTTTGAAACCATCTAAATGCAGAATTTCGACCTGGCAAGGCAGGGGCAAAGGGCGAAAGGTGCACAGGCGGGTTTCGTGTCCTAGTGAAACGTGCCTGGCGCAGGTGTGGAAACCGTCTAAGTGCAATATTCGATCTGGCAAAGCGCTGGCAAAGGGTTAAAGCTGCACGGAGGGTTTTGGGGCCCTGGTGGAACGTGCTTCGCGCAGGTTTTGAAACCCTCTAAATGCAGTATTTCGACCTGGCAAGGCAAGGGCTAAGGGCGATGGCAAAGCGCTGGCAAGGGGGTAAAGGCGCTGGCAAAGGGCTAAAGTTGATGGTTTTGGGGCCCTGGTGGAACGTGCTTCGCGCAGGTTTTGAAACCCTCTCTAAATGCAGTATTTCGACCTTGCAAAACAACAGCAAAAAGGGCGATGGCAACACTGGCAAGGAGCTAAAGCTGCACGGAAGGGTTTGGGGCCCTGGTGGAACGTGCTTCGCGCAGGTTTTGAAACCCTCTATTTCGACCTGGCAAGGCAGGGGCAAAGTGCGAAAGGTGCACAGGAGGGTTTCGTGTCCTAGTGAAACGTGCCTGGCGCAGGTGTGGAAACCCGTCTAAATGCAATATTCGACTTGGCAAAGCGCTCGCAAAGGGCTAAAGCTGCACGGAGGGTTTTGGGGCCCTGGTGGAACGTGCTTCGCGCAGCTTTTGAAACCCTCTCTAAATGCAGTATTGCGACCTGGCAAGGCAAGGGCAAAGGGCGATGGCAAAGCGCTGGCAAGGGGCTAAAGTTGATGGTTTTGGGGTGGGGCCCTGGTGGAACGTGCTTCGCGCAGGTTTTGAAACCCTCTAAATGCAGAATTTCGACTTGGCAAGGCAGGGGCAAAGGGCGAAAGGTGCACAGGAGGGTTTCGTGTCCTAGTGAAACGTGCCTTGGTGGAGGTGTGGCAACCGTCTAAATGCAATATTCGACCTGGCAAAGCGCTGGCGAAGGGCTAAAGCTGCACGGAGGGTCATAGGGCCCTGGTGGAACGTGCTTCGCCGAGGTTTTGAAACCCTCTAAATGCAGTATTTCGACCTGGCAAGGCAAGGGCAAAGGGCGATGGCAAAGCGCTGGCAAGGGTCTAAAGCTGCACGGAAGGGTTTGGGGCCCTGGTGGAACGTGCTTCGCGCAGGTTTTGAAACCTTCTAAATGCAGAATTTTTACCTGGCAAGGCAGGGGCAAAGGGCGAAAGGTGCACAGGAGGGTTTCATGTCCTAGTGAAACATGCCTTGGCACAGGTGTGGAAACCGTCTAAATGCAATATTTGATCTGGCAAAGCGCTGGCAAAGGGCTAAAGCTGCACGGAGGGTTTTGGGGCCCTGGTGGAACGTGCTTCGCGCAGGTTTTGAAACCCTCTAAATGCAGAATTTCGACCTGGCAAGGCAAGGGCTAAGGGCGATGGCAAAGCGCTGGCAAGGGGCCAAAGCTGCACGGAGGGTTTTGGGGCCCTGGTGGAACGTGCTTCGCGCAGGTTTTGAAACCC